ACGCGGGCTTGTTGGAGCTCCTGCCCCCCCCCCCTCCCCCCTATGAGCCACTCTGTCTGATGAGTCGCACCACATGTTAGGCACGGCGGAAGCATCAGTGATTATGTGTTACCAAAATGGCGTTGTTAGCCAACGCAGAAAATTGAGCACCAGTAAAGACAAAACAGATGAGAAAATGCTGCGTGGGGTCGGTGGCTGTGTTGGCGAGGACTTTTGCGGCCCTCACTGCTGCGCCCTTTTGAGGCTCGAGGACGGACAGTGTGAGGTGGGATTGACGTGGTGTTCGTTTCCTGGTGGCTGCGTGGGGTCTGCGAGAACACTGCGGAGGCTCAGCCTGAGCACACACTCACAGCCTGAGCTCCGAGTGCGCGCTCAGCCTGAGCACACACTCACAGCCTGAGCGCCGAGTGCGCGCGTGCGTGCGTGTGTGTGGAGCTCTGCGTAGCACCGCGGCTGAGAAAAGATAAGGCTGAGTGAGTGTGTGTGTACGGAGCTCCGCGGATTGGTCCATTTTGACTTCAGGACGTCAATAGGACCCGGAAGAAACAAATGAAAAAAGAGAAATCTCCAACGACGCGTTCTGGTGCTACAGGGTGTACTTTGAGGGTTTGTGACTCTGCAGACCGTTTACATGCAGAAAAACCTTCATAACACACAAGGGGACGGGTAATAACCGGAAAAGCATGACATGGGACCTTTAACACAGATGTGGTAGGACTGCAAGAGTTCTTACCTTTTCAAAGTCTGCTAATGATCTGTTCTTGCAGGCCTGGGCCACACACTTCAGTGCATCCGTCTAAAAGAGGAAAGACAAAAGATACATGTTATTCTACAGAAAGTAATTCAATTATTACGTTTACATCCACAAAACTAGATATCTGGGAACCAAATAAGTTTATTTTAGGGAGACCAAGACAGAACCAGACGTAACTTCAAAAAGGCTCCATTGCAAGACACACAAAACATAAAATTGTTTGAATGAAAGAGGCAACAGAAAGAAAGCAGCTTATATTTAATTTTTTTTCCAAAAGTATACATCACCACATTTATTCTTCATCCTACTTTTAATGTAAGGTTGAACAAAGTGACATTGCTACTTAGCCCAATCTGCTACGATTAGAAAGGTGAGCACTTGCCTGTCGGCCGGTATATCGCAGGCCCAGTTTACCACTGATCAGAGCTGGAACCTCCTCTGGGCTGAAACAGATAAATAAACATATTGAAATAAAAGTCAGTAATGTAATAACTCAAAGTTACTAAGAGGGTGTGCAAGTAATGGACATTCATTCACATTTCAAGATCTACTTACGCTTGGAGGACAATTTTGCACAGAAGCATGTATTTGAGTGATGTGACGGCTCTGGGGCTGTTGATGGAGTCGTAGCCCTCGAAGGCCTCAAAGAAGTAGGAGTAAGCCGTCTTCCAGTCCTTCTCCTCAGCTGCGTGGATGATCCCTGCAACACAGAGGACACAGCATGACAGTGAGTTACCGTCTGTAGTCACAACAAAACAACTGTGACACCGTGAAATGTGAAATACCAACAAATCTGGAGAAACTCGCTGGGGGTAGCTGGTATGTACGATTACACAAATATTAAAACCACTGTGTGCTGGCTTTCACTGGGTTTTGACCAGACCGCAATAAATAATGTTGGAAATTCCCAAACAATTAGCTGCAAGCTGCCTCTCCTTCCTGTTCACTGTGTGTTATACAGTCATAAATAACTGATATTATCCCAGCTTGTCTGCGTTCACTGTTAAACACTGTGTCACAACTCTGTGACTTTGAGATGGTTATCAGAATAAAAGAACACTCAATCACTCTAGAACAAGGATATACATTTTTCCACCAGCTGTAAAGAACAAGGGGTTGCTTCATAGAAGGTTTTGTATCATACTAATTATAATATATTAACCCATTTTAAGTATTTTGGAAATAATAACATTGTTTAAAATTTGAACGCATGCAGGGGTTAAATGGAAGTCTACCAAAATTGCTCCTGTAGGAATGTCTTAATTAAGTATACACTAGTACCATGGATACATAGTAGGCTGAATGAGATCAAGCGCTGGAAAAAATTAAGAGACCACTCCTAATTTGTATTAAATCTCAATCTGTACATGCATGGCAGCCACTCCTTTCCAGTGTCTGTTGAATTACAGCAGAGATAAATGTTGTCAGTAGTTTATAGAATAAACTAAAAACACAGAACTATAAATAGTAAAAACCAGAGAAACTGATAATGCTGCAGTGGTCTCTTAATTGTTTTCCAGAGCTGTATAATGCAGTGGCGAACCGTCAGGGCCTTCAAGTTATTCAGAGAATACCCTGGAACACTAAGATAAAACAAACAAAATATCGATTTAATTATATAAATAAAATGTAAATAAAATGAATAAATGAGAATCGTATCTGTGTTGTTGATCTGTAATATTATAGTGTTACGTTGATTTGTTTGTCCTTCTCGGACCATGCACTACGCATTTCAGGGGTTTTATGTTAGAAAAGAAAGCAACCAATCAGATCTGTTTCTGGGTCTCTGGGTAGAATATCCTTCAACCAAGGTATTCTACATCCTTGATAGAATGCCCTGGCCGTTTCACCGAATGAGAGCGTACGTTTGGACTGACAGTTTGATCAACCAATCATATATTGATTTGTAGCCAATGGGCGTATTCTTTCAGAGTTTCCCTCGGTTCCAGGGTACTCTAGAAGGCCCGCTAGTTTACTGGCTTCAGACAGAGGATCTAGAATGCGACGAAGCAATTCATGCCGTTTTATTGTTTTTAACGTTGAAATGACAAGTGCAACAGGTGAAGATGAAGTTGTTGCGGAATTGTTGTGAGTACCCTTTTCAAGACGACAATTCAGTGAAAAGACGGACATTATAATGCCGCTGAGGGGAGGAGGAGGAGGGGGGGGGTGTGTGTGTCTAAAGAAGGTCCAGTTGTGATAGACACGGTTCGCCACTGGTATAATGTAATGTTATATTACAGACTTGTCTGGCACCCCCTAGTGGGATTACCAGAAAAGAGAAAATGTAGACAACAGGGTTTGTCTCATCTTGCTACAAACCTTATGGCCCCATAATAATGAAAACATGCTAAATAAGCACAAAATAGTTGAATACACCTGTGCAAAAACATCCCACAATTTCTCTATTAAAATGTTATCAACATTTAACAATTTATTTTAAGACCACTCCTGCATACAAGGCACTAATCTTGTTTTGTAATGCTTAATGATCGGTTAACAAGGGTTGCCTATTGTGGAATTGATTTGTGTCATTTAGCATTCAGAAATATCACAAGAAAATAAAATTCTTATTTGGTATATGTTTCCCCATACAGACACACTGAAACTGGAAAACCTTAGCCCAGGTAATCTTATAGAGTGAGCATATTGAACAGGTCTGACCTGACTGCATGTCCAGAGCGGCCTGGAGCTTGGGGGGGCAGTAGATGCCGTTGGCGGTGGTCCTGGCTGAGGTGAGGGCAGCGCGGGCCTTGGGCAGGTTACTGAGAGCGTGGTACGTCTTACTCTCCAGCAGCTGCACCTCCACCAGCAGAGCTTTGTCATCCATCTTCTTCAGCTCCAGAAGCAACTGGGTGCCTGTGGGTAGTACAATAAACCAAAGTTAATGTGATGAACATTAACGGTTGCAACAACTCGGTAAACAGCTGGGGGGTAAGTCTACAATAGTAGTCTGATATGTGCTGTTCTTTCTCCTCTCATTGTAAGTTAGAACATGCCAATATACCACATATGTTCCAAGAAGGACCACAACTTTTTAACACTCAATACAATAAAATTGCAACTAGAGAGGATATCTTTTTAGTTTTTGTTCCTCTGGGTGATTTTTCACATTATGTCAATGCATGCCTTTCCATCCAGTGTCTGGAGCAGAGAACATATGCTTCCTTTAAAGCAAAGGGTAAACAGGGTTTATCTCCATAAAGACTCACCAAGTGCCAAGGCCTCCGGGTATCTTTTGGTGTCAAAATAGAGTGCGATCAGTCGAGCCTGAAAGAACAAGGTGTGCCATTAGACGAGCAGAGAGCAGCAGTGCCAGTATATTGCCTTATATTAAAAGGCACAACATGCAGCATGGACCAGAAGGACAAAACACACTTCTAGGATATATGTTACACCAAAAATAACTTTGACCTACTCGGCATTTAGAAGTCTGAACTTGGTTTGTGATAATCTTTTTTTTTTAATATAATTCCTTAACAATGTAAAACATATTATAATTGCAATTATTAATCTTTACAGAATATGTTTAAAGGCCTAGGAAGAGCAGCCTAATGGGCCTCAAATTCCACACATCTTGCTTGTTTTCCCATTCAACCCTATAACTCTACTCCCACACATTCACAGTGTCTTGATATAAACCGAGATTGTAACAAGCATTACAAATTAATGACATGTAACGCCAAGAACAAAACTAAATAACATACATCCCCATACATATATATAGATTAAGCTGAGAGCTCATTTTCATTTGAAGCCCCTGGGCAGGTAGAAACCAACATGAACCTGATGTTTGGTCGTTGATCATGCTCTACACACAACATGGCCCACATGATGGAATAGGCACGTTTTAGATACTGGACTTTTAAAAATCTAAAGCAGTTTGGGAAAGAGCTAAATGACTGGCGGTAGCTAGATCTATGCAAAATTGTGAAGCGGCATTACATTGCTGTCTGCTGAGGCTACTGTTGAAGGACTATACAACTATATTAAGCTGAATCTTATCAAAGTACATCACAAGAGGACTCCTGAATGGTATTCACGGTGCTATTACACTTTTTTTTTTCACATAACTTATAATGTTTGTCCTCGTGGCTTGTCTTAAGAGCGTCCCTCGTCTCAGATTTCACTTACTCACACATGCCACTTTCATCACATAGTTTTCTTCTTCACTTTGTAGGCCACATGAAAGTAATAAAAGATCTGTTGAGCCAAAAGCTCCAGATATTCTTGGCTGTGAGTGTGCTGGCAGTCATTTTGCTATGAAGCAAGGTGATGTCATCGTATATGGCAGTGTGTAGTAGCTGTGTTGGCATCTTTTGTTTTTTACTTTCGTAATGCAAAGTTTACAACTCGTCACAAGCTTTATCACATTTAGCAAGTTCCTCCACCATAATATGTTTGAAATCAAAGCGTCTCCCACTCCCTGAGTCAGGAAATGTTAATGTGATTCCTCTCACAGCTGCTATTCATGTTTGGGGATATCGCTTTTGTTTATACTATCATTAATCATTAAAGGTGTCGTGTGTTGGCGCTAATCACGGTAAGGGGAGAGGACGGATATATCAGCTGGGGTTGTTTCCCATTTTCTGCCTCATCAGCAATCAAGTTCTCAAAGATAAGGCAAATAATAAACACTTTAGAGCCTAATTGGTGCACATAAGTTGTTGCGAAACCCTTATAATATTTTAGTGATATCCAATATATAATTGGATATTACTGGGTGTTGATGGTTGACAGAAGGAAAAACATCCCTATTATCAGAGTTTAGCATTGAGGCTTTGAGGTCTACACATTAATGATGGAGAATAACATATGGCTTATTAAGCTTCATATATTCCATTAGAAGGCACCCACAAGGTTTTTCTAGACCTCTTTACCTCCAGAGCCTGTCGTAGGAAGGTTCTCTTCTCTGTCTTGGCCCATTCAATGCACTCAAGACACAGCTCCACCTCCTGTCCTGTCGCTGCCTCCATGTCCAGAAAGAGATCCAGCAGAGAGCGGACCAGCCGGGCCGCCTTCGCCTTGCTGATGGAAATCAGGAAAGGCCTCACAAATTTCAGCAGACCACCTAGTTCTGTAGACAAAAAGAGAGAGAAATATTTCAGAGATTGCATACATAACGTAGAATAAGTTCCATTAGGTTTCTGGGTTAAGTAGAGACAGACACAGAATGGAAATCAAAGTTGATCCTTACCGGCAGCCTGTCCCGTCTTGGCCAGCAGCGTCCCCAGCTCCAGGATGCTCTGCTCTTTAACCCTGACAGCTTCCTCATCGTTCTCCTGGATATCTCTCCTCACTGATAAAGAAAGACAACAAGTTGACAACAGAAACCAATTTAATTATTCTATCCTAACTTAATGCAATGTGTTCATTTGAAACGGTGTGGGTGACACAGCGATACACTCATTTACTCAGTGAGAGTCTCTGACTTTTAAACATGATCTTACTCACTTCTGTTTTGATCCTGTTTTTAATCCTATAAGATCTGTTTTATTTGCATTACCTCAATATAACTTAATGTTGGGTCTACTTACTATTATGACAATTATGGATGATGAAAACAACAACTCATTGTAAGCACATTTTACATTAGTCACCCTAACCCAATTCCTTTTTCTTTAAGTAGATTTCCATGTCTGAACATCAGTCCAGAACCCACATATTTTACAATTACAAATCTTCATTTTAGACAGCTGCTTTGTCAGGAAATAAAAAAGGAATCAAACTTTAATACACATTTCTGTATGAATGTCTCCCAGTATGACTTACATTTTGGACAAATCCAAATAATCAGTGTATGATCTCCAACTTTCATGTTGACAAATCCTTAACGTTACATCTGTATATTGTTATTCTTTTTTATATCCTGAGTATTCCATGGCTTGAATACAATTGTACCAATAAAAAAGGTGGAATGAGCAAATGTCTGGCTTTATGCTAGAAAGAACAACTTATATAATTGTAAGTACTCAAATTGCTTATAAATGATTAACTAAACTACTGAGAACAAAATCAATGCTTTTTCACAACATAATTATTTGAGCGGATTAATAGATGTAGCCGGATAGTTTGACAGCTAACAGAAGTGACAAGGCAATTTGAGGACAGTGATGCCTATAGGAAATGTAAGACCTGTTTACAGTAACTTAAATTATTGTACAATTTCCATAAGATCGTGTATGCGCCACAAATAACACAAACAAACCATGGCCATTTAGCAACCATTAAATTCAAAAATGGTAATGGTTATTGTACTGAATCAGAAAGCTTCTTTTCACTGTGTTGACGAAATGGTTTAAAGGCTTTTGACAACAAGCTAAAGACGTTAGCCTGAACAGCGATCATGCTAACATGACAGTCTTAAGTTGAGCTAATGATAGTTATATTAGAAACTGTGGTCAATGACGCAGCAACACAATACCCAATTACACAGTCAAAAAATGTAACATTTGTGAAAACTACTAACACATTTCACGCCCAGGCCTAGAGTTAGCATAGGTGCTAACGAGCTAACTAGCTAAAATCCACTAGCATTTGCCGTTACCCAGCGTTCAACAGTGAGTCAGCAAGGCACACCACCGGCTCTTGCTATTCAACGCCACTAGCTAGCATGCTAACCGGGCCGCCTGAACACTGACCGAGACATTATTTCGGTATCAAAAGGGTCCATCTCAAACCTCGGACGAACACTTACCTATTGAGTGGAGAATGTCGATAGAGGCGTTGCGGTCCGTGCTAATGAGAGACTGGGCTCTCTGAAACTCAACCACTGCTGCAGCCGCCATCTTCCTTATTCAAATGCTGCCTGAATGAAAATTACGTGAGGGGACTACGTTACCTTACGTGTGTGTGACGACATCGTGCATGTTGAGATTTAAAGGCAAATGGGAAATGTAGTCACAATGAAAAACTGTAAGTGTTTCCACAAAGCGTGTAGCCTATATATAACGGTATATATGTCATTTGTTGTCGATTATCCTTTTTAGGAGTCATATTTTAGTCAGGACAATATAAGCCCGGTGGAATTATTTCATGTAGCCTAATGTTACTCATCGCAGAAGATGATAGGCTATAGCCTAAAACATGGACGTAGCCTGCTTAGTATCGACACATGTAATTCCTTAGGTGAGCTATGTGCTTTTAAAAATCTTAAAAAAGAACAAACCAATAATTACCATATCAATGGACTGTATTAGCGTATACATTTCTGAACACTTTAAAAAAGGCCAACAAGGTGAATATCAGAAAATATGCTGGTATCATAATAAATCATTTGGGTTAAAAAACAGGGACCTATCATTTTTAAAAGATAGGCCTACGTGCCCAAATGCTTACCAAAAGCCAAAATGCAATAGTTTTCTTGACAATGTGACACAATTTCACGTTTTCTGTTTTCATTTAAGAATTGAGTCATCTAAAGCGAGATGCAAAACTCCTCTGAAACCATAGCCTATTTATACTTCAGTATCCTTACACCATATAGGACGAATCCACAACGGTGATTCCCCAAGACGGAACAATTTAACAACAATTGTAATATGTATATATTTATCTGGGGTCTATAAGAGGATATTATTAAAAATGGAATAAAGAAACACAATCTGCCAATTACATTATGCATTGGTCTGACCATAGGCTATCTCATATTGGAGTGGCACAGATACAGGCACGCCCCCACTAAGGACTATCGGAACATATAAATACAGTAGCCTATATGATGAGATAAATAAACCTATCCGGGGATTAAAATCGCACAATCGCCTGCAAAGTACTACTCAGTATAGGCTTCGATAGATCTTGCCTATCAACTGGTGCTTATATGTGGATGCTGTTGATTGGGTTATTGGTGATAATGGTGTCATGAAGAAAAACATCCTGTGAGTTCAGCGGGTTCAGTTTGCATGCTGTGCTTCTTCTATAGGCGGAGTGGTATCCAGCAGAGGCAGCAGCGCGCACAGAGCGCAGGGCGGCGCCCCACCACCGCCTTTCCGCCAGTCTTCCTCACTGAAGCCAGTGACACAACACAACATCAGCCCTCGCAGCATCCGCATCTCACGGCCGAGGAGGACCAGGAGCACATCTTCATCTAAGCATCCATTCCACAACTGCCTCACATCGTCTGCGCATCGCCGACACCAGGTGTGTTCCTCCACCGCTGGATCTTTTTTATTTTTCGCCTCGACTCGGATTATTTTCTTGGGTTCATTGCTTTTCTTGGAGATGGTTTTAAGCTTTTAACGCGTCTTGTGAGGAAAACAGGCTCGGGACGAGGAGCATCGTCGTTACAGCGAAATATATCCTAATTGAGAAGGACATTTGGTGAGTTTATTTTCATTTTGGTACATATTGTTGCATGCGTTCACATTGTAAATATATTTGGTGCATTTACAGAGCATGTGCGGCTATATAAACAGGGAAATAGGGAACTCAATTTAAATCAATTGGAATAAATTAGATAAAGGCAGCTAAATGCAGCACCATATGTAAGATGTTTACAGGTTGGAGGAAAATAAGAGTGTTCTCTTAATCTCTTAGCCACCGCCTATCACGGCCATCATTTTTATTTCGACGCAGACACTCAGTTTCAGCACCATGGAGAGTACCCGATGTACACAAGCCCTTATCACACAACAAGAAGTCCGATACATGCTCTTTAAACCCAGTGAATTGACATTTAACGCTGATGTTTCGGATTTTTTTATGGATCAGATTGATAACAGGGTGATGGAATGAAAGATGGAGGCTCGGATCCTGCGCAAGCGATCAAAGTCGATCATCGAGAGACGTATGCATACAGTAGATACTGCAGCGAGGAGGAAAACATGTTGTGCAAAGACAGAATCATAAATCTGTTTGCTTATCTAGTTTGAATAGAGATGGAATGACCTTGGATTTGTGTTTTAATATGCTACTGTATATGCAGCAGGCGACCTTCACCTATTAAGGTGTTTACGTTTACAGTCTTCCATTTTAGTGAGGGGGTGGCGCATGGTGGCTCGTCGGCCATTGCCCATAACATATGTCTCTCTCATTATAATATGTTCATTCATCATATCAATTTTCATTAAATGTGGAATAATTAATTCCCATCTTTGATCTCCCATAGTATTATCACCATTCATATGCTCATTGCAGATTATGCATTTCGGCTGCAGCCTCACACCGACATGTTTGTACATTCAGGATGTTTATTACATTGATCATGCAGCAGCAGGGTTCTATATTTTTTTGAATTAATTAGCGTAAGCTTTACTGATCCAGCCCACCACTTACTGAGTCAAATCAATACTGCTAATAAGCCTGAGGTGCAGTCAGATAAAGTACTCAAGCACACATTCATGAGAACATTACAGAACTGATAACCCTGATATTACCACATGCAAGCTGAATAATCTAGAATTGATCTGAGATTGGATACATTGTATTTGCTTTTTGAAGATCCTATGGATAATCTAAGAGTCATTGATCCTTCGCCAGCTATTCTTCTAAATATTGATGTTTTCTGCTTCCTGCAGTGGCCATCAGGAGACGCAGACAGACAGCTGAAATCCAGCAGAGTGGAGGAGATTTTCTTCCTCTCAAAAAGCTGCAGGATCTCTTCCTCCCAGGCCTTAGATGCCCAGCGGCAGCCTCTAGCCCGGGACTCGCAGCTCCCAGCAGCATAGCGGCTCTGAGCCCCTCAGGATCTCCCCTGGCAGACCCTCTTCTGACCCAGTGCGGCTCAAGCCCCTGGAAGCCCCCCTACAGTCACCATGGGAACCGTGCTGTCTTTGTCCCCTAGCTACCGAAAGGCGGCCCTCTTGGAGGATGGGCCGGCCACGGTGGGCCACTACACGGCCGTCCAGAACAGCAAGAATGCCAAAGACAAGAACCTGAAGCGCCACTCGCTCATCAACGTGCTCCCGTGGAAGCGCATCGTGGCGGTGTCGGCCAAGAAGAAAGGCTCCAAGAAGGTGCAGCCCAACGGGAACTACCAGAACAACGTCACCCAGCTCAACAATGAGAACCTGAAGAAGTCCCAGTCATGCGCCAACCTGTCCTCCTTCACCCAGGATCAGAGCACTCCAGCTCTCACCAAGGCCTCCAACAACACAGTGGCCTCTGTGAAGAAGGCTCCTCTCACCACCTCCAACGTGGCCCCCGGGACCCCGAAGAGGGTGATAGTCCAGGCCTCCACCAGCGAGCTCCTGCGCTGCCTGGGGGAGTTCCTGTGCCGGCGCTGCTACCGGCTCAAACACCTGTCCCCCACGGACCCGGTGCTGTGGCTGCGCAGCGTGGACCGCTCTCTGCTGCTGCAGGGCTGGCAGGACCAGGGCTTCATCACCCCCGCCAACGTGGTCTTCGTCTACATGCTGTGCCGCGACGTGGTCTCCTCCGAGGTGGCCACGGAGCACGAGCTGCAGGCCGTGCTGCTCACCTGCCTCTACCTGTCCTACTCTTACATGGGCAACGAGATCTCCTACCCCCTGAAGCCCTTCCTGGTGGAGAGCTCCAAGGAGACGTTCTGGGACCGCTGCCTGTCCATCATCAACCTGATGAGCGCCAAGATGCTGCAGATCAACTCCGACCCGCACTACTTCACCCAGGTGTTCGCCGACCTGAAGAACGAGAGCCAGAAGGAGGAGGAGAGGAGCCGCCTACTCATCGGCCTGGACCGGTGAGGGGCTGCTGGGG